ACACACACACACACACACACACACACACACACACACACACATGCACACACACACACATGCACACACACACACACACACAAAACTTACCATCGAATTCTGGAAAGTAGTCTACTAGGTGTGAGTACATAATCTTCTCCTCCAAAAGGTCCTTCTTGTTGAGGAAGAGGATGACGGAGGAGTTTTGGAACCAAGGGTACGTGATTATCGTCCTGAACAGCGCTTTACTCTCCTCCATACGGTTCTGAAATAAGAAACACAAACAAAAATAAACAACACAAACAAGGCATCAACACAAGTGCTGCTGCACTTTCATACATCCAATTGTTAACAAAAATCATACTCATAGGAAATTCAAACTCTACTGCTGGATGAATTACGGAGATAATTTCCAGAAATGCCTCCATAATTTGTCCAGTATCTGGGTATCTCCATAATTTATCCAGTAGTAGAGTTTAAATTTCTTATGAGTATTGTTTACCTGGATGTCTAACCTGCAGTTCACTTGTCTTATCACAGGGGGCACTCTTTTGGGCAAGTTTGTTTCCTTGTTACATTTTTAGGTACAGTATTTCTTTAGTGGTATTTTCCCAGTAAATACCTCAACTAAAATGGGCCTGAGTGGTTTCACCACATTCTAAACAAAGAAGAGTTTCAGAACATCTCAACTTCAACATCAGAAAACTCAACAAGTCAACAATTCTTCAGGTAAACAATCTTTTGGGTAAACAACTAAACAATCATTCATGTAAACAAGTAAACAATCCTACAGGTAAACAATCATTTAGGTAAACAAGAACAGACATGCAAACCAGCTTCATCTGGTCATGTGACTATTCCATTGACTTTCCTGGGGGGGGGGGGACTACAGGATTGGAAGGTTTCTGCCCCCCAGGAAAACCAGTGGACTAGCCGAGGAGAGTATTATGGTCTAGACGGTAGATTCTGCATGCACAATCTCTTCATGCAGTTGTCCTTTGGAGGTGTCAATCAAATCATAAAACTAAAAATCAAGTCATGCCTGGTGCACAACACGATGTGTCACACATCTTGCACATGCAGAAAAACTTAGGTTAAAGTTAACAAAATCATGCCTTATGCAGAAAAACTTAGGTTATAGTTAACAAAATCATGCCTTAAATCAAAACATGCTAAATAAAGTTAATCAAATTTAACCCTCAAATGAATCATGCAACTTATATAAGTGATGTTAAAATCAACCGTTACAACAAATTAAACTCAGTAACAGAAAGATAAAGAAAGGAAAGAAAAAGTCCACTGTTGGATGTTACCTCGTTGTCGGACTCTACCAAAACTTGATCATATTCACTTAAGGCGACCAGAAACATGATGGAGGTCACGTTCTCAAAACAGTGGATCCACTTCCGCCGCTCCGACCTCTGACCTCCCACGTCCACCATTCTGTGAGCGGGAAAGGGTAAAAAGGTTGTTATGGTTACTACGGCTACGGTTGTTATGGCAACGCCCTGCTTGACACCTGACCCGGGTTTGTGATGTGGAGCTGCCTGCTGAGAGGGTGCAAAAGTCAGAGGTCATTAGGTGAGAGGTCAACCTGAGAGCACAAAGTTGAAAACAGAGAATAAACAATAAACAATAAAGAATAAACAGAGAGATCAGGTCTACAAATTGCTTTCTGATTAAGGGTTTTTGAAGAAAGGATTTTCCTCTGTTCTCATATTTGTGCTCTGAACAGAAACACAGACCAGCCTGAGGGTGAGCAGGGTGAGAGGTGAAAGGCTACAGGTCGTGGGTCGGGGGTGAGTACCTCGGTGGGGTTCTCCACCAGCATCATGTCGTACTCGCTGAGCGCGATGAGGAACAGGACCGACGTGACCTGCTCAAAACAGTGGATCCACTTCCTCCGCTCCGCACGCTGACCTCCAACATCCACCATCCTGTCGCCATGGTTACCGTCGCCGTGGTTACGGGTTGGTCATCATGGTTACGGGTCGCCATGGTTACGGGTCGGTCGCCATGGTTACGAGTCAGTCGCCATGGTTACGGGTCCCCATGGTTACGGGTCATAGGGCAGGTTGGAGCACAGATCGGGTTACATGATAGTCGTACGTTAGAGTGGAGCACAGATCAGGATAGCAGAGAGAGAAGGCTTGATATAGAATAGGTGTGTGTGTGCATGTATACAATCACTCCCTATACATGTATTTGCTGATCCTTCCCTGTATACATTGTATTTTGTATGTGATTTGATTCTAACTCTTTGTGAGGATTTCGTCCATCAGAAGTACATGTAAAAATGCAGCACAAACTTACTTCAGCTATGGTTTTACATGACTGAAGGGGTGTGAAAAAACTAGCAAAAATAACCACTCTGTCTTCAGGGACCCATCCTAACCATTACTAAACTGTCCCTAAGATTTAACCCCTCCTAACCAATACTGGATTGTCCCTAACCTTCATTCCCCCTTAACCCAACAATGACCTGTCCCTGCTGAACTGTCCTCCCTCCACCTAACCCAACAATGATCTCCCCCTGCTCACCTGAATATGACGTTGTCCAGGTCGAAGGGATACTCGATGATTCCCGTTGTCGGGACTCGAACCCTCAAAACGTCCTGTTCTGTGGGTAGGTAGTCGCTTTGTGCAATCCGGTCTAGGTCGGACAAGTAGCTGTGGGGAGAAGCAAACTCCGGTTACAAACAGTCATGAAGTGGGGTCGTGTGGCGTAGCGGCAGCGTTCTCGACTCGGAACCAGAGGCCCCGGGTTCGAGTCCTGACATGCCACCGATCTTGTGCCCTTGGGAAAGGCACTTTACACGACTTTCCTCACTAGACTCAAGTGAGTATTGTCTGTCCAGTATTTGTTTCTATGTTCGGGCCTTAACACCAGCAACAGCTGCCTGTGTTCCGCGTGTATTGCACTGTTGCAATTTCAATAAATCAAAAATAAATAAAAAATACTCACTATTTTGCTGAATCTGTAAGCTGATATTCCCGCCTCCTGTCGTAACACTCCTGGATGCCTGCGTCCTCCCATAATGACTGGATGGCCTCCACATATTCCTTCTCAAACGTAGATACAGACTCAGGTTCTATTGATCTGATCAACGCTGCCCTTTCCTAAAAAAACAAACAAACAAACAAACATGAACAATTTGCCTTTTCCTATAAAAAACAAACAGACTCAGGTTCTATTGATCTGATCAACGCTGCCCTTTCCTAAAACAAACAAACATTACAATCGACTTACACATTCAGCAATTACAAAAATTACAAACATGAACACTTTGTCTTTTCCTATAAAAAAACAAACATGAACACTGTCTTTTCCTATAAAAAACAAACATGAATACTTTGATGGCCTTTTACTATAAGTATGAAACACAAACATGAACACTTTGATCGCCTTTTCCTGCATAACATAACAAAAACAAACTGTCACTTTTTTCAGAGTATCCTGCAAAAAATATATATACACCTTGAGATTGACATGTTTTGTGCCACCACATTATGACTATGTTTTCTGAAAGCAAATTTCTAAATCTGAACAGTTTTCAATGCTTTCATATTGTTGACTCTACAAGTGGTTTTCTGGTTTCTACTTATTATGGGTTCACCACACCACGAAGTGGTGTGGTGAAACCATATTGCTTTTTCTGATGTTTCTTCTCCTTCTCCTTCTCCTCCTCCTCCTCCTCCTGCCATATCTTTAAATGGATTCAGCTTCTTCATTTTAGGGCCTAAGGTCCTGAAATTTGGTATGGAGGTACAGTGGGCAAATACCCCTAGGCGTTTTTTAAATTATTGTGATACAGGCTTTTAGAATGGTTTTATTTGAGTTTTTTGGCTGTGTTATAGCAAATGTATTACTGTGTTAGTCTGCCTTGTTTACCACGTTTGGGCATGAGTCATCAGAATGGAATGCAGGGCATCAACCAATAGGCATGCAGCTTTCCTCTATACTTCTTGCTGATTGGCTGTTGGGATTTAACTTCATTAACACCTGCACAGAAGCATTTCCATACTGACAGTATGTCTGTATTCAAGTGTTTTGGTAGGTATTTCAAGCTTTCCTGCTCCAGCATTGGAATGCCGGGCATGGACGTTTTTTTTTTATTTTGAAAATCAACAGTTTGCATTATGCAATTAAAAATCCTAACCAATAAAGTAGGGAATAGCTATCCAACTGTTGTTTTAGTTGTATTTTACTTCATATTATAGTTATATCAATGTAAATCATTGTTTTCCCTTGTGTTTCCCATTCTTTCCCTGCCATGTCGTAAAATGTGGTGAACCCATCGCTGTATTTGCTCCAAAGCAAATATTGGCCTTTCTAGTTGAAACTGTTTCTGATTCCTTGAACCCTTTGAGCCCAGGTAGGGAGAAAGACCAAGTTATAAAATCATCTGGACATTTAAAGCGTTCAGACGGGAGACTGATTACATCAACATCATCATCGTTACTGATTACATAACGAGGTCACAGTTTGTCCTTCAAACGACATCCTGGCCATTACACCGCGACCTTGGTGGATGGAAATGAATCAGACAACAGACATACTAAAAAGTGATGGTGCAGGTTTTCTTCAAGTGAATGACAGTGTACTGTACGTGTTTTTCTCTAGTCCTGTAGACCTTGATTTCAAGCCCTACATGTTTTCGGGCCTGTCTACATGTTCCTGGCCTGTATAATGTGTTGCCAGCTCTATACACATGCATGCGGGCGGGTATACATTTTTCCATGCCTGTATACATGTTTGCAGGCCTGCATATGTGTGTTTCTGAGCCTGCATGTTCCAGGCCTGTATATATTATAGTACATATGTGTGCCTTTCTGGGCCTGTATATGTACATGTATGTTTCTGTGCCTGTGTGCATGTTCTCAGGGCTGCATAAATTTTTCTGGGCCTGTATATGTGTTTCCGAGTCTGTATGTTCCCAGGCATGTATATGTGTCTGGGCCTGTATATGTGTGTGTTTCCAAGCCTGTATGTTCCCTGTATGTGTCTGGGCCTGTATATGTGTGTTTCTGGACCTGTATACATGTATGCATGTTTCTGGACCTGTATATGTGTTCGAGCAGATGTGTAAAACTCCTGACAGCCACAAGTGGCTTTTAGACCCATCAGACATCTCGATGCTGCTGCAACGTTAACTTCACCTCTCCTGGGTTGGAACAGACATTACTGTTACTGTTCATCAGGTCTATTAGGCTAGGCCAAACCAGTACTGGGGAACTGGTATATAGAATTCATAACCCCAGGTCACTTTTTTGTGAATTTAGAGGTAGAGAATTTGTAAAGAGAAGTTTTCTCTCTATTCCAGCCTGCATTACTGTAATAACAATTAGTCAAATGCTAGTTTTTGAAAGAATTACACTTTTACAAGGTTCTCCCCAAACACACTAATATAAGCAAACAAGTGTCAAGTACAGGTAGTGATGCATACCTAAACCCAATTTTAGGTTCAGATCCCGATTCAAGTCCAGGGGTTTAGGTTCAGTTCCGGACTCGTAAGTCCGGACCTAAACCCATGGCATATACAAAATTGCATGTTGGCAACCTTGCAATGTTGTCTGAGTGAAACTTCGGCCACATAACATTGCAGGCTGACACTTGTCGATGCCCGATGGCAATGTTTTCTTTTGCAGCACAGATTTTGCAATCTATGTTAGTTTTATGGTGGTTTGTAAAAATGTTTAGGTTTTAGCACAAATTTTAGAAGTCCAATTATCATATAAAGGAAACAGAAAATGAGACAAATCTAAGGCTAATGTTAATGAGTTCAGAGAACCCAAATCGTGCCGCTGGTTGAAAGGCATTAAGCATGACATTAGCGGTGTGATGGGGGCTGGTATTGTCTCCACATTGTTCTAAATCAGCACTTCTGTCTCATTTGCAGCCTTTTCTCTGCCAATAACCCCAAATGGCTCCCAAATGGTCAGCAGAGTTTTACACTAATCCAATCTCACTTCCAGGGTACAATTCTAAAACTGTAGTGATCACGTTATGGTAATCGACATATATATAACAACTGTAAGTAGGGGGAGGGGGGCACCGATTCTGAACTTCACTTCAATCATACACCCCCATGTACATGTACACAAACATACACACACACACACACACACACACACACACACATGTACATACCCCACATACATATACATACAAGCATACACACAAAAACATACACACAAACACACACATGCACACACACACACATACACACCAACACATACATACATGCACACACGTCGCATACATATACATACAAGCATACACACACACACAAACATACACACATGCATATACATACATACACATATGCACACACATTATGTACATGGCCTATCATGGCCTTGGTCCTCCCACCACTGTTCAGCTAAAGGTATCACACCACTGTTCACATCCACCTGATGTTACACCTGAGGACATGTTACACCTGAGGACATGTTACACCTGTTACCTGTAGAGCACCTGAAGTAGCATAAACAGGTCCTTTTTGGGTTCAGAAACCTGCTTTATTACATTGCCTGCTGCGTTACCATCAAATACTTACTTTAACTGCTTTTACATAATTTATGCCTACCTACTGCCTAAATGCTTAGGCCATAATTTATGAAAACTTTACAATTGTGCAAAGGCAGATTTCAGTTTGGTGTTTCAGCCTATGTTTGATCAATCCTAGTGAGGCCTAGGAAAAAATGTGTTTCCTGTTTTAGTCCTAAAAACATTTAGGCGTTGGTAGGTAGGGATTATCTTGTTTTTTGTTCCTCTTTTTATTAGACTTCAATCTCTAGTGATCCAACTTATACAAGACAGTTTAAAACTGTATAACTTACATGAGGACACTTTCATTTTGTCAATGTCAATGTAGGAAAACTGATTCATTTGGACAAAGTTTCATCACTCAGGTGTCTGATCATGGAGCTAGATTATGGTCCAGTGAAAAATGTATTTCCCTTCCACACAAAAAAGTCTAGGGTCGGCAGTTTTTTCTAGGGTCGGTCAGGAAACAGGAAACACAACATTTTTTTCTAATGCATTAGCCCTAGGCCTTCTGCTCTCCCACACCACATTTCCTACTTTCATTCATAATGAGGAAATACAGTAATTCCTGATTTTGTCACAGTACTGTTATGTTCACTGTTTTCATTGTCACTTCTGTACCGTGAAGTTATCAGCTAACAAATAATTCCTGGACTTTCCTTTTCCTGCACCTGTCGCCACCATTGAATATTTAGTTCTGTGAACATGTCCATTTTTCTCAGACCGTGAACTTTTGCTACCGTGAACATAAAGTGAATTACAGTAAGAATTATTTCTCCATGAATCTGTTGCCAAACGAGCTGCCGTTTTTCCCCAAAGCTGCTCCCATGGAGCGAATTTTGCATCACGGAATGTGCATACAAGGTCAAAGGGAAGGTCACTGACACAGCAGACTCCTCCTCTAGAAGAACCTTACATCTTAAATAAATTACTTACTTCTTCATCTTAAATTTAGTTCTATTCATTTATCTAGTCTTACATTAGTTACAAGAGACATTACATTTCCACAACAGACACACACACATGCACTACATCAAATATTATATCCGCGCTACAAAAGACATTACATCTGCACTACAACAGGGATTGCACATGCACAAGAACAGACTACATCACAAACATTACACACACACACACTTGTACACTACAAGTTCAACAGACATTACATCCGCACTACAACCTACATTACACATGCACTACATCAAACATTACATGTACACAGACACACACACACACACATGTACACTACAACTGACATTACAGTAAATTTACACATACACTACATCAAACATGACACACACACACATGTACATGTGTACTTTTGACTCGGACTTGTGCTTCTATGATTTCTGTACCTATGTTTATGTTCATGTTTATGCTTTGGTGTCTTATAAGCCTATATGGGCTGGGCGACAAAAGTCGCAAGACACCTAAATAAAAATTCATTCATTCATTCATTCATTGTACACTACAACCCACATCACACCCATAGGCCATACTACACACACACAATCAGGTGATGGGGACAGAGCAGATCACTGCACTGCTGATTCTCTGATCCCTTACTACAATCTGACACACACATGGGACTTCCCCCTCCCCTCCCATTACAAACACAACACCCCCCTCCCCATGTAACCTACCCCCCTCCCATTACAAACACCCCCCTCCCCATGTAACCTACCCCCCTTCCCCATTACAGCCTACCACTCTTCCTGCCCTTGTATCAATGCAGATTGGCAGAACTAACAAGCTACGAGATGAGATTGCTTGTCTTGAGAAAGTTGTGCGAGTGTCTTGAGCAGGTTGTGGTTTAGTCTTACCTCATTCTCCTTGTTCTTGTAGGCGATCTCAAGTCAAATTTTTCTTTTTTAAGAAGATTTATGAAGGGTCAGAAGGCTCTCCCCCTCAAAAACACCCCTACGCTTATCAACAGACAGTGTAGGGGGCTAAATCACAGCATAGGGGATTCAAATCACCACGTAAGGAGCCCCTACACTCAAACAACCTAGTGAGAACTATGGAGAAGGTTGTGCTATTGTCTTGATAAAGTTGTGCTTGTGTCTTGAGAAGGTTGTGCTTGTGTCTTGAGAAGGTTGTGCTTTAGTCTTACCTCGGCTAAAAGGTCTAGACCCATCACTGGATCGGTGCGCCTATAAACCCCCCCTGTTACAGTTGTGCTTTTGTCTTGAGAAGATTGTGTTTTGGTCTTACCTCGTTCTCCTTGTTCTTGTAGGCGATCTTGAGAGTGTCCATGGCGCGGATCATGCTGTGCATGGCCATGAAGATGTTCTGGTACACCAGCTTGGTGTAGCCTCGTCTGTCCTCGTCTGAGTAACCCGCCCCGTGGATGATTCTCATCTGCTTGATGAAGGTGCTTTTGCCTGATTCTCCCGTACCTAAAGGTGGAGAGGAACAAATATAAACTCAGGGAACTGGAGAGGGAAGTGACGCACAGACACACACACACATACACATGCACGCATACAAACACACTCACACAAACAGAGAGACAGGCACGCACGCACACACACATGTAGGCAGGCACATATACACGCACACAGACACACTCACACGGACACTTTGGCGACCCAATCACGATTGGGGGCGATTTCAGAGGGTAGAAAATAACACAGAGAAAGAAAGAGCGAGAGGAGAGGGATACACATACACACACAAGCGTGCATGCACACACACACACAACACACACATGCACACACACAACACACACACACATGCACACACACAACACACACATGAACACAGACATACACACACGCGCACACACACACACACACAAGCGTGCATGCACACACACACACAACACACACATGAACACAGACATACACACGCACACGCGCACACACACACACACACAAGCATGCCCGCATGTTTATCATCTGTTGTTCCCCATCACCGAGGGTTAGACATGCTTGCACACTAACATTAACATTTATACCACCATACAAACAACATATACTTTTAGTATATTGCAGAATGACAATTTTGTTCTTTAAGTTATATTCAGAAATACACAATCATAGGTCCAGACATAAACCCATCATGGCATATAGATATACAAAATTGCATGTCGGCAAACATTTCACATGCAATTTGAAACATTCATGCAAAATTGTTAGTATATCATAGAGTCAGTAGTAAATACAAAAGTTCTAAACATTATTATGCTGACACCATAATTTGCAGTCTTAGTCTTACCCAGATTTTTTCAGTCTGCAAAAATGCAGGTTGCTTATAATATTTCTTCTGCAATATTGAAAATATCTCTGCAAAAAGCAGACTACAGATGGGTGTTTGTAACATATACAAGCGGAGAAAAAAAGACGAAAATCCGAGATTGGGGAGGGAAGAGGCAGTATGTGGTGCAACTGTGTCATGATTTAGCATAAACACGACTGTGGCCTTGTTTTGGTCGGGCATTTTCCGGGTTTTGGGCCAACATTCCCCGCTTCTAGCCCAGCCCAGAGGGCCAGCAGGGCCGATTGTGCGTCCCGGGACGGTCTGTGAGGCGGTAAAGCGGCGTATAGCCGGTCTGTGGGCCCGGGTACTGCCTGCAGCACGCTACACAGCTACACATATCGCCATGGACGTTTTCATTGATAGAGGAAAGATGTGTAACACTAACATCGAGGACTCAAGCCGATTCATACAAGCCCAAACGGCGGGCTAGCCACAGAAACGGAGCCACTTACCTAGCAGTAGGAGTTTGAGCTCTCTTCTAGCGTCTCTCTTGTCCTTTCTGAGCTGTTTCTCGATCTCCTGGTTGATCCGTTTTTGCTCCTTTGCCTCCTCCGATAGGCAGCACGCCATCTTGTTCATGCTGGATGGGATGTCAGTTTTCGCCAGCCAATACCGGGGGCCCTACTCTTCTGGTCGCGGTTTGAGACCGTTCTGGCGGCCGTGCCGTGCGCCTGTGTGCCCCTGCTGGCTCCAGCGGGCTCCTGGCGGGTCTGGCTCGGTAAAAACCGCCTGTTTCTGCCGTAGATCGGCTCCGAGAGGGTCCGGGAGTCGTCTGAGGAACGCCGAGGCTTGGAACTAGCAGTACGGCCTGGGTGGGGACGGTACCAGCGCGGCGGTGCTACTCACCGGACACACACCCCGCAAACCCACACGATTTACCCATTTCGCCCCAAAATTGCCTCAGTTTTGTTAACTTCTGTGTCAAATTATTTCAACTATCAACCAAAATAAATAGTTTTGCCATATTAGGGTGTATTTATATCATGTTTCTTTTGTTGGTTTTCTTTTTAATTTATGGCGAGGGGCGGCGTCGCCTGATGGAACAGCCAAGCTTGGTTTGTGTGATATTTGAAGCTAGTTTGTAGTAATTCGTGATACTGCTGTGATAGTGAAAGACGTGTAATTGGGGTCTTATCAGCCAAAAATGAGGGTTTACCTACACCGAAGTAAAATTAATTATATCTTCGTATTTTAATTATTATATTTCATGTGTATAGATGTTGAAATATAACGTTTGAGTGATATATGGGTAACCATATATCCCCCTTACACACCCACTAAACAAGCGAGACTAGAAACCCCCATCATGGCGCCCCACTTGTCCACATTGCCAATTCGTTATGTTCCAGCAGAGCGCTGAAAAAAAATCGCTCTTTTCTCAGACGATATTCTGCCTTCCTTTTGCTGCCAGCGCTGAATATATTTCCCTTGACTCTCTCTCAGAAAAAATGCCGGCCCGTTTGGGGGACGGCGCCGCCATATTGGACCGGGGGTGCAAATCGAACGTGTAGGGGTCGTTGCTAAACAGTGGTTCGGCTAGCAGCCAGAACGAAGGGAAATTCAGACGCAGTTGAGGAGGAAATACTGGATGCAGGGCGCCATTTTGTCCAGAGTTGGACCGTACCGACCGTTTCTGCTGTTAGCACGACCGTTGGATGGAAAAAATCAGCGGCGAAGCGGGAAATTTCGCAGCCAAGCGGGCAGGGAATGAGCATGTCTGGCCACCTGCACGGGTCTAACCAACAAGTGGCTTCCATCGGAGATAAATAACATAGCACTCAGTAGCAGGGCAGGGTACGAGTCATGTGCAACAAGTCTGGCCGGGCTGAGGAAAACTATAAACAAACAAACAACAAATAAAACATACAAATAAAGTTTAAAGTGTAAATATGCAGTAATAAACAAGGTATGAAACTAGTTACTTAACCAACAAGTGGCTATAAATAACATAGCACGGCAGGGTACATGTGCAACAAGTCTGACCGGGCTGGGGAAAATATAAAACAAACAGACAGACAGACAGACAGACAACAAATACCACTTATACAAATAAACAGATATGCAGTAATAAACAAGGTATGAAACTAGTTAGTTAACCAACAAGTGGATTCTATGGCAGATAAATATTACCTAGCAGGGCAGGGTACGAGTCATGTGCAACAAGTCTCGCCGGGCTGAGAAAAAAAATATAAACAAACAAACAAACAACAACTAAAACTTGTACAGATACACAAATATGCAGCAACAAATAACTGAGGCAATTAAAACTAGTCACATTCGTGTGCAACAAACCTCGCCGGGCTGAGAAAAAATAAACAAACAAACAAACAAACAAGCAAGAAACAACAGATAAAACTTGTACAAACACACAAATATACAGAAACAAATAACCAATGCATGAAACTAGTTCTCTCCACAGGAATAGTTTTCACATCAGACCAAGGAGCAGACCAAAAAAATGTATAAAATAAACAGTAAAATTTTAACAAATATGAAAAATAATAACAAATTCGGAAAAGCTAAAAGTGCCAATAGATTGATAACTTGCATCTAAAGGAAACTCAAATTTTTTATTCTTTTTTTAAAAAACGCTCATGCAGTTCCAGGCTAGCTACTTTAAACTTCCGGACATAAAAAGCTATCCGTCACCCAAAATCGAAACCATAGCATATCCAGGACACTCGGATAAAAAATTTACGGGAAATTCTACTGTAGTACCCAGAAAAGCCGCCTGGAGGCCAAACATCGACGTTGGTCTTCCAAGAACACTGTCAGTATGAATAGACCAAATATCATCCCAATCCATCCAGACGTTATTTTATAATAAGTGACCATCTTTAAATATGCTGCTAACAAATATTTGAAAGCACACACAGACGCATGCACACACAGGCACACTAACGTTAACACACAGACACACTAAAACAATACATTTTGTTAAACTTTTCAGATGAGTGATTTTGCCAAACGGAACAGTCGGCAAATTTGGCAAGAGACATCAACTGGGGAAAATAAGGAGTGGCCCCACCAGATCATGGGCGTTACCTAGCGGAGAGAAACGGTACTGCAAGGTAAACGTTAAAATTTAACACTTGTTGCCTTCGCTGAGAAGATTATGTTTTCAGTGGTGGTTTGTATGTATATTTGGTTGGTTGGTTGGTTGGTTGGTTGGTTGGTTGGTTGGTTGGTTGGTTGGTTGGTTGGTTGGTTGGTTGGTTGGTGTGGACTGTTTTATTGATAACCGATAACACGCGACCCTGTTCTATTGATAATTGATAATGTGGCATATGACCTGTTTTATTGATAACTGATAACACGTAACCTGTTCTATGTATAATGGTGATAACTGTCGCAATGTGACTTCCATTATGCTTCATTGATTAAGAAAAACTATATTATGTCTTATTCTAATGACTATCTTAAAAAAATTCACACGGCATACGGAGATGATGTCATATGAACATTTTAATGGAATTTATAACCGTATAGTTTTGTGCAGTTTTCTGAAGGCTTGGGCAAGGGTTTAAGGTTAAAGTTCTATCTAAAACCCCGTGTAAAGGTCGTGCGTTTACATTATAAAGACAACTGTCGTCTGTCTGCCCTCCATATTCGCGGGTCAGCTGGAGTTTGTGCTTCCGGGTCAGAGTTCAAGAAACGGTCCGTGTCGTATCCGGATGATGATGATGGTGAGCCCTCCTACGCTGATCTCTTGCCCAGGAGGATGATGGGATCGGGCGGGCAGCCGAGGCACTCCCCTCCCCACCGCTTCTCCGGATTCTCCATCCGTCCGGATTCCGGAATCTCAGACATTCCGGAATCCTGAACTTTCCGTGGTCCGGAATCCAGAGCCTCTGTCTTTCCGGAATCAGGATTTTCCACCCGTCCGGAATCCAGAATCTTTGACATTCCGGAATCCGGAACTTCTTGTGGTTTAGAATCCGGAACTTTCTGTGGTCCGGAATCCGGATTCTCGTTGTGTAGATTTTCCGGAACGTCGTCGAGAGAAGCCCTTCCGGAGATGAGGATGGGGTCCGGAGGGCAGCCGAGACACGCGCCTCCCCACCGCTTAGCCGGAACGGAATCCGGATTCTCACGCCTGTAGAAAACTGGAGGGAAAGAAGTTAACAAAAGAAATTGATAAGTGAAATCAAAATAGATAAATAAAAATCAAATGGCAGGCAGGCAGCGATGATTTTGGATATTTATTTCACACATGAACATTTGGAACAAGGTACCACAATATTACACCGAGAACCCCATATAACAAATCCTATACTGGCCGAATCAGATTTGCTCACTACAGGTATTTATTCAGCACTGTGACCCTGGAAAGTACTAGTACAGTGGTTGTCTTTCAACCCCCATACTCACCCTCGACGCCCTGGTCCCCAAACTTGCCCAGTGGACTCGCCTGGAAATTCGAAAAAAAAAAACAGGTCGTAAGTTTTTTGGGATTGCAATAGTCTATTTTTGCTTCCGGTCAGATTCGCCACTTTTTGTTAACGTTACTGCCTGCAAGGTTGCAGCAAGGCATATGACGTCAGGGTAGGCAGCGACTCCTGGCGATCTCTATGTGAAGTCCAGTCAAAAAGTGTCGCTTTTTGGGTGACGTTTTACGAAGCGTACGATTTCGACAGGCTATTATCAACCCAGAGTTAAACGTTAAATTCAGATTTATTAAACGTTTGGCAGATGTTGGTGTCAGGTTAAAAAGTAGTGTTTTGCGGCCTCTTTTTCGTTCGTCTAAACGTTTTTTTTCTCTGCACGCCTTTTTTTAAAAATCTATGTTAGCTCTTACAAACGAGAAGACAAACTGCTCCGAAAACTGCCGTGAAACAAGCCGGACACTACATCAGCCGCAGGAAGTTTTTTTCCCAAAATTGTAACCACAGCATTAGCCAAACCTCAGGTTAGCCTCTCCCGACCCCTTCCCGACCCACTCCCGATCCCCTCCCGACCCATACCGTCTCCTTACCTGCACACTCAATGCTGCCAGGAAGAACAGCAACAGGTCCCGCCAAAACAGAGCCATTTTCCCGCCGTTTCTCTCAGCTCAGACGACACTGACCGTGATTTTCCCGCCAAACGCCGATTTTCCCGCCAAACGCCGTTTCTCTCAGCTCAGACGATTTTTTTGACTGAAAACCTCCAAAAACTCACGCCATTTATACCTACATTGTATGACGTCACACGCCGGGTAGACGTCAGAGGTCTAGATCGTAAATTACTCACTCACTAAATTAAAAAAAAAACTAATAAAACTAATAAATCTATTAATAAATCAATCAGTATCGATATGTGGGAGTGACATGCTTGTGAAGTTTGGATAAAGGATGGCAAAAAGTCTGTGTTATCAAGAAACGGTGTGTCGGTTAAAAGAAATTAGACGATTCGGGGTGGACTATTTTGTTTACATTTGAGAAAAGTAACGTTACAATTTAGGATATTATGTTTTTAACACTTTGGCTGTATGATTCCACATGTCATCTTTGTTTGACGTGTGTGTGCGTATGTGCGTGTGTGTTTGTGTGTGGTGGGGGGAGGGGGGAGTTTGGACATAACAAACTCTAAAAATTGTAAATCTGAAATTACAACAATCTCTAAACCAGGAGGACAATGTATAGTAAGTTAAGGCTTCAGATGTGGATCCCATAGGCAGTTGCCTTTTTATTCATTAAAATGTATGTATGAGTGATACTGCTATGCCGTCTGTTTCAGGACAGGTGACAACTTGGAGAGGGAGGATTCTGTGCAATTATAAATTAAAACGGAACGGAACCGATCCGGCAAACAGACAAACCATAAATCCCGGCTGTTGGGTTTATTAGCGATTCCGTGCGCTCCCGGGGCCATAAAATCCGCACAAACATTTACATTCTGTTGCTGTCTTAATCTTAGTGGGGACGTGTGACGTGTGGTGCTCGGCCCAGGCCCAAGAGGTCCAGGGTTCGAATCCTGCCCGATGTCACCGATCTTGTGTACTTGGGAAAGGCAATTTACACGACTTTCATCACTTCACTCAGGTGGAAATGAGTACCTAGCTTCGGTTAGGGACGTCCCTCGGATAGGACATTAAATGGAGGTCCCGTGTTTGGGGAGAGCCACACTCCACGCACGTTAAAGAACCCACCGCAGTTATCGAAAAGAGTAGGGGACCTTCCTGGTGTCAGTGGTTCAAACCTTACAGTCTGGTCTCAGGTTTGACATCTTCAAAAGGTGATAGTCACCTGTTATGTCCATCCTTCCTCAAATGTGGTAAATCTTCATAAAATAAAATTTAAAAAATCAGTTTGGCGCCACCGGAAGTGGGATGCTGCATTCTGCTGATGCTCTGCTACACAACCATCTTCTGACATCATTTCCGGTAACATGACACATCGAACAATAAACCAAAAACGTCATAGATACTTTATTTATGCTGATTTTATTGAAATTGCAACAGGGATAGATATTGCACGGAACTATATGTGTCAATTACTTTGGCAACCCACGTGCACGATTAGGGTTATTTTATTGGGGTGATCTCATCTGGTCGGAAATAACACACGCACGCACAGAGAGGGAAAGCTAGAGGTAGAGGCATACAATTTCTGTCACACATGTACACACACGCACGTACACAGATACACTCACTCCTTCACTAACACACATATACTCTGACACAAAAACAGTACTTTAGCCAGCATCTATGCTGCTCATTCCATGCTTTATTACGTCACAGCAGGTCATAGTTCACTGCCAAGTCCGGGAGTATTAAAGTTTGCAGAGTCGCAATAGAGAGAACAGAGTTCCTAAAAACTGGAGGAACGCTTCAAGTTCAACCAGTGAGCAGAACTAGTGTGCAGTACCTGTACTGCACGCAAGGTGACGCGGAACACACAAAGACAATTGCACAAAGGGTGTGGGAGGGTGGCGTTACCGAGGTCTAAAACTGCCGCTTGCCGGGAAAGCCGTTTCCGAGTTCCTCCTTGGGAGGATCTTGAAACTGCCGTTTTCCAGGAAAGCCGTTACCGAGGTTCTCCTGGGGATCTTGAAACTGCCTCTTGCCGGGAAAGCCGTTGCCGAGGTTCTCGTGGGGATCTTGAAACTGCCGTTTGCCAGGAAAGCCGTTGCCGAGGTTCTCATGGGGATCCTGAAACTGCCGTTTTCCGGGAACGCCGTTGCCGAGGTTCTCCTGGGGGTCTTGAAACTGCCGCTTGCCGGGAAAGCCGTTGCCGAGGTTCTCCTGGGGATCTTGAAACTGCCGTTTTCCCGGAAAGCCGTTGCCAAGGCCAGGTTCCGGGGGATCTTGAAACGGTGGCTTTCTGGGAAAACCGTTGCCGAGTTCCTCTTGGGGATCTTGAAACTGCCGCTTCACTGAAAAGGAACGCGACCGATCAGTTTGTAAAGCACGACATGAAAAGAGACAAAGTGAGATGAGATACTGTATATATATAATTCATATTTCATAAAAAAAATTGATATTTTCCATATATATCTATGATTGAATGAATAAATGAAGGAATGAACAAATGAATGAAAATTTTTATTAACGGTCTTGCGCTCTATGCGCGCAGTCGGTATGGGCTTATAAGCTCATAACACACCAGAAGAAAATACTAAAATTTATATATATGGTACACAAAACAAAAAAGAGGCACAGATTAACGTAATGAACCAAAACGTGGCAAAATTGTCAATAAGATACAAGGATCATATTTCCTCACCTTCTCCGCCCTGCAGCCGGCGCATGCGCAGGCCGGGTTGAAGGTGAGCGCCAAGCGGGCTGGCCTGCGGAAAAAGTAGAGAGTCAAAACGAGGAGACAACGTGGCACATTAAGGCGTGCGAAAAGTTTTTGCCAGGTTTTTCGGCCACCTACTTCACCTGTAGCCTCACAGTGGGAAACTTGAAGGATACTTGATTACTTAACGCTGTCGCCTCACTGTTAAGTAGGATGGAAAGACTTAAGACAGGGAAAACAAAAAGGCAGTTTAATTACGACTTAAGAAAGGGGGACATTAAAATTCAGGTTAAGACGGAAGAAAAGCTGTTTCACCTGTGCAAGTTGCAGCCCCACAGTTGGGATGTATAAAAGACGTAAGAAAGCGGGAACATTAGGAATCAGTTTTAGACGTAAGAAAATCTGTTTTTACCTGGGTTAGGGTTGTATAAAAGTCGTAAGAAAGAGGGAGCATTGAGAGTCAGTTTAAGAAAGTTGCAATTGGAATGAAGACCTCACCTGCGCCAGGTATATTCCCGCCAGCAGCAGCAGCGCGGCTCCGACTCCGGATAGCGTCATGACGTCAGGACGTAATCTCCGCTCCTCTCTCCGCGCACCTGGGTTTATATAAACCTCACCTGACGGCAGGTGGGAACCAAACAGGTGAGGTGTGACGTCATCTGTTGACGCTGTTGCGACATTTTCTGTTATTTTTCCTTCCCAACATTTTTCTTCTCCATGCCCCCCCCCCCCACACACACACCTGAATTTTGCATTTATTTATCACTATTACAATATTCTGGTGACGCTGTACCTTTGAGTTGACTGGCTTTATTAATACTTCTGTCAAGTGTCAATACAACTTTCCTCACCTGTGTTTTCAACCTTAAAAACTGAACCGTTGATTTAAAGCTTGATTTTGGAAACGGTCCTTTTCTAATTGGGATCTGCAGTAAAGAGCTATGATGTTAAAAACATGAGTCTATTTCTAGACCTGTAAATTTTTAATTTTCTACAATAAAAGCTTTTCGGAAACTCCGACAGCGAAGTTTCGCCTCCTCGGTAACTTGGAAGGCGGGTTTTTGTTACGCGGTGACGTCAGGTGGAAGATGAGCGCTGATTGGTGGGAAGCTTCAAGAGTGGCCGGTGATTGGTGCTGCCATGGCGACCGCGTCAGAGTTACCGAGGAGCCGAAACTTTGCGACTGGACTTTCCTAAAAGCTTTTAAGGCAGGAAATTAAAAATTTACAGGTGTAGAAAGAATAGAGACGTGTTTTTATCTTCATACGATAGTTCACTCTATCTTCACGGTAGCAAAAGCTCACAGTCTGAGAAAAATGGACATGTTCACGGAACTATATGTTCACGGTGGCGACAGGTGCAGGAATGAGAAAGTCAGAATTATTTGTTAGCTGTCATGATAAGTTCACGGTACAGAAGTGACAGTGAAAACAGTGAACATAAAAATAAAAGTACCGTGAAAAAAATTAGGAATTACAAACGCACAATTCAGGTGGATGGGGGGCTTGGATACGCACAAATGTTTGGGAGGAAAAATTAACAAATTAGCACTTCTAGCGCACTCAGCCAGCCACTTGACATTTCCGACTTACCCACACATTTGGTCACTTTCCCGCCAATGACGTCACCACAAATATGTACACAATGTCGGTAAATGTCAGCTAATGATAGTACAAATCCGTAACCTGCAAGTTTCTACCAGGAGCAGACTTAAAAGCATCCAGTGCAGTTTTTAGGGCTTGGAAACCAGATTTTTAAAAGCCAATATTCTAGTCATTATATTTATCTAAATACTGGGACCTCATTTATCTAAATATTTAAACCTCGCTATTCCAATGTACATTGACCCCCCCCCCCCTGGAGCAAAAATCCCCCAAATTCTGACGTAAAATTATTGCTTGAAGGGCCCTGGGATAATTTTAAGGTACCACCCAGAAAATAAAGAACTCATTTTGTGGCTTGTTTCTGCAGTTTTAAAGGCCCAAAATATGAAATTCTGATTTAAATGTGCTAAAGTGAAGCAGTAGGTGGCAATATTACAAATACTGCCTTTTCAAATATTGCCGCTAGGAACGCTGCTACACAAAGTTAGCAGCGTTCCTAGCGGTGAGAAGCAGTACTGCAGTCGGAAGCTAATAGGAAAATGTCTGACAGGAGAAACATTCCTGGTTGTGTAAGAATAAACTACCTATATCTTATGTCTTACCAACCTCATGAAATTATTTCTAAAAAAAATAGTAAAAGTCAGGTAACGTTTATTTTGTAAACAGTACGTATAACTTACATAACGATCGTAGTAAATAAAATCCAAGTCCAGTAATTTCAGTTACTTCCATTGTCAATTCCTGTTCTGTTTACTAAGTATACATTTCCCGACGTTATTGATAATCGATGAATCCAACTTTTCGAGCAGTGTTATACGTAGACAAGGATGACTACAAGGCTTATAAGGACTGATAAAATATCTTTATTGATATGCAGGTACAGTAGTTTCATCCGGAAGTTCTGTATTTGCAATAGTTAAAAAAAACAAGACGTGTCGAGAAGGCTAGATACAGGGCATTACATAAACTTGTAATCAGCAAATATATAATGTAGACAACGCTAGACTCAAATTATCCAGATAGCTAAAGCAAGACACTGGTACGATTGTGGCTATGACACGTCGTTAAAGTACTAAGTTTTCACCCAAGTTTTCATCACACTGGGACTGAAACAGGAATTTGCCGGAGACAAACTTGGTAGAAGCCCCGGCACCGCGTCAAGGTGTTGCCTCCATTGCCGAGGTAAATTCGGACGCCATCCTGACAACAACCACTCACAGTCCCGACAAAATCACAGCAAAGTTTTAAAAACAGTTTCACTGAGCTCACAGTGGTTTGTAATAGAATTATATTCGGAAAGTGTTTTGTGCCTTTTGTGAAAGTGAACAGCCAGAAATGGCGAAGGCAATGTTCAGCTGTGCGCTGCCTTGCTAAGTTTTTTTTTTCGCCCCTGCCTATCTAATGTTATTATTGAGTTATAATTGAGATTCTTTTATCAAATCCTACTGTAAGCGTCTACAGTTTGTTTTGTTTATTATACAATTAGGCTGCCTAAGTTAGTCTTATTAAGCCTCATTCTTCCTAAGCTGTTCACAATCTTTCCAAACCGAAGTTTATGTTTTCTTTGCTGCCAATGTGAGCTGAGTGAATTCCATACGAAAATTCAGAAAGAATGGCAAATAAAGAGGGACTATCAGTGGTAGTGTCAGGATGGGCGTCGGTTTGCCAAAAATAATGTGCGCCAATTTTCCGTGGCTAAAAAGAAGTTCCTAGGACCAACATTTGGCCAACATGCAGTCCTAGTCCGTCTACTACCCTCCCCACCTATACCGTCCTTGTCAACAAACAAAACCATAAGAAACATGCTACATTCTTTACATAAACGCGTTCAAAATCTGTTTCCTGTTGTCCTGATGTTCACCGGCGATCTTCTTTCTGCATCATCTGTATCGTAACGACAGAAAAAAAAATACCAAGAACAAGCACACAAACCCAAACAATCAAAATACGACCTAACATTTATCAAAGACATAGAATTATTTAGCAAGCATTCAATTCCATCAAGTAAGATAATTGTCGAAGAGATTACTAGTTATAAAACCTGCATAAGTTAATTAAGGATACGCCAAAAAGCAATTACTCAAGAAACTGGATATGATTTTGGATTATGATTATGATTTTCCAGTTGCCTGAGTAACTGCTTTTTGGCGTATCTTATTACCTGGATGTCTAACCTTCACCGACGTTAATTAAGGATACGCCACAGCAAGAACAGCTGTCCTTGTGACTGGCAGATCTGAGATACGGAGCCAGGAACACTTCCTTCAACCAGCCAGTCTTTAGGGAGAAGTCTAGATCTCAGCGTCGTAGATCCTACGGTTTTCCAGTCCAGGGTGGGCCTGTGTGGTAAAAAAAGATAGGAAAGAAGAGAAGAAGGTTCACGTTAGTATCAGGTATGACATGCAACACCGCCTTGAGTCACATTGTACTATAGAACCAGGCGAAAATATAGCGACCTTTGCATAACCTGTACTGGGAATATATTTTATTTAAACTTTATTTCAGGCACTTGGCCCATATGACATACATACAGGAATATAAGGTACAGAAAAAGGACTGAGTAGCTAAAATACTTCTATCTAAATAACTAACTTTAAAAGACAGGATATATAAACTAGCACATTGTACTTTACACTTTATACATTAATTTCCTCGTTCGTTTGTTTTCCATATAGCCTGGTCTTCAGAGCTGAAAAAGCCAAGAAGCAGCCAACTTCCTTCCACCAGCCAGTCTCTAGGATCTAGGAAGAAGTCGTCTCGTTGTAGATACTCCAAATTCAGTCTTCCAGCACGTGGTGTAGCTGTAGTGTTGGGCAGAAATAAAACAAAGAGAAAGACGCACATTAATAACAAGTACAAGGCGCGAATACTGTTTGCCTCAATGTACTAGTACCATTACACACAAGTTTACTCATTCGTTCTTTCAGTCATTCATTCATTCATTCATTCATTCAACCATTCATTCATTCAACCATTCATTCATTCAACCATTCATTGAATCATTCAGCCATTCATTCATTCATTCATTCATTCATTCATTCATTCATTATTCATTCATCATTCATCCAGCAGCCATTCATTCATTCATTCACTTGACCACACGACCTTGACCCGGCGATGAACTTTAACCCTGATGAAAATGTGGCGATTCTGAAACAGAGAAACAAGAACAGCATTAAATTCGCAAGCTTGAGTATCACATATTAGACGTGTACATTTCAGGCATATTTTTTTTCAATCTGCACACTTTTAGAATTATATAACCATTGCAATAGACATTGTTGAAACCTTAGTGGTTTGCTAAGTGTTTGTGTGTGCGAGGAAAGGACGACAACATGGCCAATGTTTTGTTTGTTTGGTGAAACACTTTATTTAATGTACTTTTGTACAATGTACAAATTACATTTATTGAGCATCATGAACAATTTCTTATCTCCATAACCTTTACATACGTTATAAAACCTTAGAAGATTGGTAATGCTTTAGAGACATGCAATTTGACTAACTTCAAGCTAAAATGTGTGTGTGAATGCAGACAGTAGAAAGATACGATAAAGATACGAGGAGGGGGGCTAAGAAAAGGACAAGCGCTACAGTTACACCCATAAGGCACCCCGGGGGTTCGGCACGAGCCTAACAGACTTTATATCATTATTTATAAACTACTGCTTAACATTTATCAGTACCCCAGAACTACCCTCCCTTTCCAGATGGGGCAAACAAAAAGCAAAACCATGAGTTGGACCTAAACCCCAGAAATACTATTATAGCAAGCGGGTCAGACCCCCCTATTTAAAGGCATGGGGAGAAATATATGTTAATACACGAAAGTCTAAATGGCTACCTACTTCTTATAATAATCCATCCAATTCCTAAGAATATTCTTTGGAATTCTAGATGGATTTTAGTGGTGTCAATTCGCGTGAGTTCTAACAATTAGTAACATAACAATGCAGAATTCTATCGTGTTTGTGTACGTGTGTGCGAGTGTTTGCGAAAGAACGACACCATTTTTGCAGTGTAATTTTTTTGTGTAGTAAAATATCTTAACCCAACCGCGCTGCATATGTATATATGTGGGCATCATACTTGGAGTCTCCAGGGTTTTCGCGAGTTACTTTTATAAAACGCACGGGTTAAAACTATACAACGTTTACATCTATACCACGCACGTTTTACAACTATAACAACGTCGCGAGATGCCCCGCGCACTGCAAGCAAGCATAAAGAACAACAATTTAACCATTGATATACAAAAGCAACCACGTGAAATGCCACCACTAATTCTACCCAAGATTTCATGGAACTTTAACACAGTTCCATGAAAACTGGTCAACTTCTACAAAGTAAGGAATGTCGTGTGCCACTCACAATAGTCCTTACTTGTTCACCCATCCAATTCCACAAGAGTATTAAAGTCTTGGGAATTCTATGGATTTTAAATTAACATGGCATGTGACACAACATATTCATACAACAAAGCAAGAAACAAGGTTTTCGCGCCGCAAGCCGAATTACAACTATACAACGTTCGCGCGCGAGTTACAAATATACAACGCACGAATTACAAATATACATGAAAAGCACGAGTTACTTCTATACGACGCACGCATCTTTTCGTTGCTAAGGCAACTGCCTGCCTTCCCAACAGAAAAGATGGTTGAAGTAAGACTAGTTGTAGAGCACCTTTAGATCCGCGCATTGCAAGCGGGGGAGGGGGAAAAGCAAATTTTTTACACGAAATAGGAAAGTAAGAGAAACGCCAACTCACCCCCGCCATCTTGGAAACTAACTGTACAGGAACGTCTGATTTACACAACTATATGGCCTGATTTCGGACTGTTCCATTTGTTTCTACGGGTAAAATCGTACGTCACAATAATAATAAAAAGTTCGTTTAACTGCCCAAACTGCGACACAAATCGTTTTTTTTTTTAATGAATTGTCGTTGTAACACGTATCATATGTGTTTTATCACAAACCTAATTTGTTTATTTGGTATTTCATGAAAAAATTAATCCCCCACTTTTGGCAAGAATGGTTTCGTCCAGCGTCGTCGTTTCACCTGCACTTTAGCTGTCTTCAATCTTCTTCCACCAATCAGAGGCGAGATGGATTATTCTTCCACCAATCAGAGGCAAAAGAGATTTTCCACCAATAGATGACATCCTCTGGGAACCCCAAAACTGATGCGAGGGTGCGAATAAAAAGTTTGGCCAAAAAAAGTTGCTTTCATTATGAAATCTACGTGAACAGACGAAACATTTGGTATGAAAATAGACAATTAATAAAAATACAGAAAACTACTGATAACTACTAAGAAACTACTGGTAAAAAAACCTACTGGGTCTGACTTATTTTTTTGTAAGACGAAGGTCCCACTTTTTCTGTAATTTGTGGGCTTTCGGATAATGGGCAACGTTGAGAAAAATGGGCATATTTAACAATTACACCAAGATCATACATTGACCAAAACATAAAGAAGGGGCATTAAGAGTTCATTAACCCCAACGTGTCTGTAAGTGGAGTCGCGCAGTTTGAATTATGAATGGCGACTTTTGAAGCCCATTCATAAAATATACATCAGTTTTCCCGCCATTGTTCGGGCTGTGTTCGGGCCATTAGGCCACTTACGGTCTATTAAACTATAACAATAGGTGCTGAGGCCAGTTAGATACAATACGGGGTTTGTGGGCGTGATCTCGGTAATTCTTTCACATTCTTTCCCTCAAATGTTATATTAAGGATATTAATGCCTAAAATGACGTTTTATGCTATTTATGTTATGCTATGTCACGCTGTTAACCTGTTGTAATGTTCCAACATCATTTCAGACTTTAGGCTGCCACCTTTGGGACACTGTTGTTGCAAACGCAAATAAAACCATTGATATAAAAGCATACATACACACACACATACACACACACACACACACACACACACACACACACACACATACACACACACACACACACTATATATATATATATAGAGAGAGAGAGAGA